ATGTTTATTTTTAAATTTTTAGTTTTCGGTTATCACAGGGTATCCACGGATGCCACAAGTCTTTTGTTCTTTTTTGTGATATCCTGCACTTTAGTAAAAATAAAATCTTATCTTATCTTATCTTATCGACTTCATATTATGGCTACGAGCAGATCTCTATGAGATTAAGAGAAACCCAAAAGGATTCGTCCCCATGGCCTATTTGTCAAGAGTTATGACCGTTTTACTGAAGTTTCGACCTATTTACCGAAAAACAAGTTGCTGAATTTCGACCTCAAATTTTGCCCATAGATAGGTTTAATGATCGTTAGAATATCCTGAAAGTTTCTGCCAAAATGAACATTCTTTTCTTAGGCCGTGGAGACGAATCCTTTTGGGTTTCTCTTAGTCTCATAGAGATCTGCTCGTAGCCATAATATGGAGTCGAACAGCGTCGGAGAGTTAGATATGTTCCCTCGTAAGTAATTCTTTATAGGCGACTTATAACCATTTTTGTAAAAGCCCTGACAGTACTTTTTAAACTGATGCATGCCTAATTCTTGGATTTCATTTCTGAATGTTAAATTCGCTAGATAAATAACACTGTAAACAAGGTCGTACATTTTTCATTTCATGCGAGCACGCGTGTTCTCCTTTCTTCTTTTTCTGTACATATTATTTTTTCGTACATAGAAAAAAATAATACGTACAGAAAAAGAAGAAAGGAGAACACGTATGCTTGCGTGAAATGTACGTGAAAAATGCCTTCGAACAGCACATAGTTGTTCTTTGCTCGTTGATCATGTGTTTCATTACTAATCACTATTTTACTTGGAAAATTTTGACAATTTATCAGAAATTCATCGATTAAACGACTCAATATCGCTTAGTCCTCAATATCATCATCATTACGGATTCCCTCAGTGCAACAATGGTTAACAAACAATGTATTCATGGTCAACGGCTGATCTTTATCGTAATGCTTTTCAAGCATTAAATTCATACGATAAAACTCATTTATGTCAAGTACCAGTTAATCGTAATTTAAATTATAATTATATTCCAGTTCCTTCTCGTCAAAATCTGTTACCTGTTAATTCACCGGGTAACTCTCCCTTGCGTCGACCTCGAGAAGACTCTGACAATGATAATCATCATATTCAAGACTTTGATAATGCTCCAGCTGTTCGTACGGTGGAATATCATAACTCAAAACAGGGCAAATTTCTTAACAGCAGCAAGGCGAATAATTATCCACAAAATTTGTTCAATGGAAACAGCTCGAGTAGTCAACAAAAGAACCGTTTTGATTTCGTTCGTTCATCTCGTTCACCTCAATCGAAATTGTTTCAACAATCTCAAATGACTGTCAGTCTCAATGGACAATGTCAGACAATTTCAACAGAAGCTCAGAGGTTCGTTCAAACTAGTTACGGGTTTCCACCGTTTGTTATTCGATTCGCAACGGAACAAATTAGGAATCAGCAAGCGACAGAGGACGGCTTGTTCACGTAACGCAGTACTTCGCTGATTAAGTTTTTAAAAGAACTTTTTTATTGTGGAAGTGGTTCAAGCACAGCGCCAGACGAAGTTTTTCATGCTGATTATGAATATTGTGTTCTTTAAAAACAAAATTTTGGTTTACGCCGAAAATAATTGAGTTTAAGTTTTTTAAAAAGTTTAATTTCAATTTTCTGACCTAGAAATTTTGTCTAAAATATATAGAAAGTACACGAGTCGATAGACAATTATATTCTCTACAAAATGACTCATTTTGTTTTGTCGGTGAATTTTCTCGCCCAACCCCAGGCTTTCCAGAGACTTCCAGGTTCGGGCTATTTTCCAGTCTGGGTTTGAAATTTAGAGTGCAGTTCTCCCATAAATCGTGAGTACCTAGAAAGAGCTCTGGTAAAGATAAAAACAAAGTTCTTTTGGACGTGAGTACCAGGGCTGCTCTCCCAAAAAAGAGTGTCACAGCGTCACAGTAATAAATAACATTTCTGCGGTCTACGAGGACCCTGGAACGAAATTTTTTTACTAACGTGTAGGCCGTTCTCTCCTCGACATAATCGCTGCAAATAAAAATTCTCACCGATGATTTACCTTGACAGTTTTCAAAAATTCCCCAGTTACCAAAGGAAAAGAGCCTTTTTTTGTCACAGCGTCACGCTCTGAAAATTTGCTATAAAACTGCTAAACTCAAACCGAATTTTGCCCTTTTTTACGGGAGATAGAGGGTGTTGAGCTGCGTCGAATGGCGCTTGAACGAACTCGCTAGCCTTAATAGTTTTTCAGATAAAAGCGATTTAGTGTGTCAAAAATGTCACGGCGTCACGTTTGGACAAGCCGAGGAGATAATGAATCTTATGAAAAGTTATAATCTGGATTTGGATATTGTTGGTTTTCTGACATCTAAAGCAAAACGAGGGCAAAATGAACACGATATTTTGGTTTCCGTTAAAAATAGCGAATCACTCATTTGTTTACATGACATGAACAAACTGCCAGATTATCAGTTGTTGTTTGCCTTTCTTTGATTTTCTTATTGTCACTTCCTTCTCTTTCTCCACGTAGCATACTTATATTGTCTACTTAATTGATACTGTAACAGTACTAAAGTGAGTACATTGTACACTTTGTACTCTTTGCCATTTGCTATACTTTTAAATAAAATTGGTTTAAATCAAACTGCCACATCATATGGTATATGGGAAGTTTGTGTTTTCTCTGAAGCCATCCATCTCAATTGTCAATCGTGGTTAAGAATCTTGGCTCTCCTATTGATTTTGTAAGCTTTTATGATGATTTAAAAGCCGTGTATCCAGGTGTTGAGAAGATTGTTCGATTGAGGAACAAGGAGCAATTTGAGACAAGAGCAGTCAAGGTCGAATTCAAAACTGTCGATACAAGAGGCAAAATTCTTGAGCGTGGCAAAATCATTGTGAATTATATATTATATGATGTTGATGAATATATTGGTCAAGCAAAAGTGTTGATTTGCTCAAAATATATGAGCATAGAGCATTTCAAACGTCAATGTCAACAGTCTGAGCATAGATGTCAAGTTTATGGAGATAAATACTCGGATATCAACCAGCATCACTGCTCACTTACTCTTAGATGTATTCATTGTGGTAAACAAAACGAAATGCCGTACTGTTAAAACGTTTTGAGCTGATCTAACAAACAAATTATTGTCAGATTTACGTCCATTGTCGCCGTCTGGCTTTCGTCCCACATTGGTTAATTTTCCACTTCTGCGTCCTGCTCAATTCCCATTGACTGTGAATGCAACGAATAACAGGATTCTATAAAAAATAAATGAATTGAACCTCAATGTGAATAAAACGAATGACCACCTTTTTAAAATTTCGTCTAAAACTGACGATTTTAAAAAATCTACGAAACAATTGAATACCCGATTACAAGTGGTCGAAACGGAAGCGATAACGATAAAAACAAACATTATTCAATGAAAAATTGTCTCGGCTCGTCATGAGAATGTGATAATAAAAGTAGTGGCTCCAGTGTTGGATGAAATCGCGAAATTCATCAGACATGTAGTTCACGGAAATGTCGTTTATCGAGACAAAAAATGAGCGCGTACCGTTAAATCTGTTCTTGGTAATGTTTTGTTCAAAAAAGTTATTAAGTCTATTTCTGATCAACAAATCTACTTATACACATTTTATTTCCATTTGAAAGTAACAAGGTTAATTAATCTTCCGCAAAAACTAAAATAAGGTTTATTGTGAAATAGATAAAATAAACGAGGGGGCCAAATTTTCCTTGGTTTTGACCTACTGCGTTTTCGATTTAGGTTTGATCAGATTTTGCAGAGAAAACGATTTTACACATTTTCCAGGGTATATATACCATTATAACCTTATGGAGACTTTTTAAATTAACTTTTCTAACGAGGTACATAAAGCACATCGGTGCTTAGTAGAAACGATTGTGTTTAAAAATTTAATATGAAGTTACGGCAAAGCTTGATTTGGAAAAATCGCCAATGAAAAGTGAAAAAACTAGTACATGAAACATACTCACACACTGTATATTTAAGAAAAAATCGTTTCTTTTCGAACATCCACTATCTGGTGATCATGCATAGCAAAACAGGTCACTTTTCCTGGGGCTGATTTACAAGAAAACGGAATGCATCAATCGATGGGGAATTTAACGAGAATCTCAGATATGCTACCCCTTTTCCTGGACAACTCTTAGTTTTTGAGAAAGAAACGAAAAGTGTTTTTGCGTGGAAACTAGCGCTTTTTATTCTATTCTCTCATTTT